AATGGCCTTTTTAAAAAGTGAACCATGGATGGGGAAATGTTGGCAGTTTTCTCAAAAAATGCTTGAATTGAAGAAGTTTTAGATTTGCGCGGTTTCTTTTGGGGTTGCAAAATCCACTTGAACATGACGCTGCTTTTTTCGAAGATAATTCGTTTTGGCATCGTTGGATAGAGAATTGAAAAGTCGATTCAGTCGTAACAACGTGAGTGAGGAAATTCGAGTAGTTTTGTCCCAGAAAGCGAAATTTGAATGTCAGACACTTAGGCGCAAGATTATGCCAAAATTTCATGTTTTCCGTCCCGTTTTGGCTCATTTCTCGGAGGCAAAATGAGCAAGATCGCTCATTTGTACATCATTCTAGAGAGAAATAAATGGCCTTTTTAGAAAGTGAACCGTCGATAAGGAAATGTTGTCAGTTTTCTCAAAAAATGCTTGAATTCAAGAAGTTTTACATTTGCGCGATTTTTTTTTGAGTTGCAAAATCCACTTGAACATGACACTGCTTTTTTCGAAGTTTCTCAAGAACCATTCGAGCCACATAATTCGTTTTGGCATCGTTGGATAGAGAATTGAAAAGTCGATTCAGTCGTAACAACGAGAGTGAGGAAGTTGGAGTAGTTTTGACCCATAAAGTGAAATTTTAATATCAGACACTTAGGTGCAAGATTATGCCAACATTTAATGTTTTCCGTCCCCTTTTTGCTCATATCTCGGAGGCAAAATGAGCAAGAACGCTCATTTGTACGTCATTCTAGAGAGAAGTAAATGGCCTTTTTAGCAAGTGAAGCATCGATAAAGAAATGTTGTCAGTTTTCTCAAAAAATGCTTGAATTCAAGAAGTTTTAGATTTGCGTGGTTGCAAAATCCTCTTGAACATGACGCTGCTTTTTTCGAAGATTCTCAAGAACCATTCGAGCCAGAGAATTCGTTTTGGCATCGTTGGATAGAGAATTGGATCCGCCCTTGCGATATAATCAAATATAAATGAAGTCTTGAAGACCTTTGCAGGTTTTGAAAGTTGCATTTTGTGTTTTGAATCACTCGGTTTTTTCCAAGTTTGTTGGAAATTAACTGGATACTTGAATTTGCAATGGTTTCATACCAGATTTCTACTGAAAAGACTTGAAAGTAAAGCTGGACGTTTTGTGGTAAAATTTTAGTCATCACGCATGATTTTTACCTCGCTTGTGCTGCTCGAAGACCACTCTTTGCCATTTTGATTGTTGTGCCTCTCAGCCGCAATTTCTTCTTCTAACTGGGCCGCATCTTCATCCCCCAAGTACCGTATTGGGGTCGATTCCCTCTTTGCTGTGTCCCGATGGATGATCCTCCTTTTCTGCCTGGGTTTCTTCGCAAGCGGCTGCAGAGGAGGCAAGTCTTTATCGGGAGTTTTTGCTTTCAATTTAGCTTGTGTTTCGGTGGCAGCTTGCCTATTTTCATTATTTTCCTGTGCAGTTTTATTGTCCTCACTCGATTGCTGACCCGCATCTTCGCCGTTGTTGTTATTTTCGCTTTGGCCACTATTTTCTGGAGCTTGCGGTATCTGACACACTATACCGGATTCCATCGCTCTAAAACTGAATTTTCTCCAAGTTTTCCGCAAGCGGTATTTTTAGCAAAGTTAAATTTAAACGACAATCCGAGGCGAACGCTGCCGCCGATTTATCTTACCTTGGAGGAGTAGAGCGAGGTAAGACCCGCGATTCACCGAAAACATTGTTATTTGCCTGTTGATATTGATAATCTACTAGTTAAGCTTACCAATAGTGGTGTAAATCGTAGCACAGAACACCACAGAGTTCCATATTGTCCAGACTTTGTCTCCTCGATTTGCCTCAATGAAGGCCTCGACTTTGTTGTCCTCAATCACTTGACCGAAGAAGGCGTATATTCGTTCTGTAGCCAAACTGTTCCATTGCTCGGTTTGGTTATCCAGAGGCATCAAGCGGGACAAATTCGTAACTTCTTCGATTAGCTGGTAACGGAGTGCTCGTAAGTCTGGTCTTTCCACGCTTCCTTCATAAGGCTCTGAAAATTATTTCAAAAATTGTTGGTAAACTGCCTCATTTTGAGACTGTTGTGGACAAGAAACTAGAGAAAAATTGCCAAAAGTAGTCAACACCTGAGGCTTTCTTCCTGACGTTCATCGTTTTAGTAATACATTTTTTTCGACGTTCTCAAGTCTGGATTTTTTGCACATCTGAGCCAACATGCTGTAGATCCCAAATTTAGTAAGTCCATAAAGTGTAGACTAGATTTTTTCTTTGGACACGCCTGGATCTTGCTTAAATGCGGCAGAACTTTAATTTCCTTGCTGCTTCCAGGGGTTTTCCCGAAATTTATCAACTTTCTATTCGGAGCTACATATTATTTCATAAAATGCTGTAGATCTTGGTAATAATGAGCTGGAAGGTTGAATTTTTTCTCATATGTAGCTATGAATARTCCTTTGCTATTCTAKGAGTTTCGCTTAGTTTGCCTCGACGGGAATGTKTCAACAWTTTTTTTTWAATTTGAGTTGSCGATGACGCACTGGCTGGTTGTAAACTCTGAAAAAATTGCTGTAGYTCTTGATAGTTCTGAGCTGGAGAGTTGGATTTTTTTTGTAAGTAAATTTAAATTAAGTCAACAATATAACAAAMGTTTCTTGTTAGATCCCGTATAAATTGCTGTAGATTTTGCTAGCAATGAGCTGCAGGAGTGARAAAATGTATCMGGRTGCCACCAGTTAGTGTTTAGACGCCGTAGCATCATCAGTTCCATTTAGTTGGCATAAGAAAAGACTTCGGRAGAATTTTTTAATTGACTTGTCKACRAAAGAAAATTATTGTTGCCCCTGACSAAAAGTGCGGTAGTTCTTGCACATGAAGAGCGGGACATTTGCAATTTTTTCTCTCAATAGCGCTCAGCACTACTTTGGTGCTCGGYGAGTTTCATTTAAGGGACGTTACRAKGGAATTTTGGAGAAATTTTTGAATCGGAGGTTTCKATGAAAAAAAATTTTGTTGCCYCYGAASGAAAGCACTYTAGACCTTGAAYCTGAGGATMTGGAGGTTTTGAGAAATTTTCCCGRATAGCGCTGAATGGAGGCTTCGTGGTGTSTGAGTTTCATTTGGTTGGCCTTATCAGRAATTTTTAGAGAGTTKTTTTAGTTGAGCTGATAGAAAYACAATTATTTTCTYYSCTCTCAAAAAAATTGCTGGCTAGGCTGAAGATGATGATGAACTTGGGTGATGTGGGCATTTTTCGAGGAATATTTCTTTATTTTCTGGACTTTCATTTCGCTAGCCCTTAAAAGAGTTTTAGATTTTTTAATTTTCCCTGTTTTAAAACATTTTTTCTTCATTTCTTCGCCAAATCAACCCACTTTCCGCTTGAAGGCAAAGCCACGAATACAAAATGATGTAATCGACTACATAAGATTAACTCATTGCCTAAACAACGCAAATCCGGTTAAACATTCAATAAATCTACATAAATTATCTTCTAGCAAAATATAAAATAAATGTTGAGTCGCAGTTAAAAATTGATGATTTCTTCCTTGATATACAAGGTGTTTTAGGGAGCAAAAATTGGATTTTTTTTCGATCATCAAATGCTTCCAGATGCGTACAATAAAAGTGATAGATTTGAATACATGCAGAGGCGGATCCAGCTTAAATTCAGGGGGGGGGGGGTTATGTAGAAAAAATACAGTCTTCTGTTGTCTATGAAATTAGAAAAATTATCGTCGTTTTGTGCACGGGTGGCGTAAGATTATTGCAAAATTTCATGTTTTTCGTCCCGTTTTGCATGTTTCTCGGAAGCAAAATGAGCAAGAACGCTAGTTTTTACATCATTCCAGAGATAAATAAATGGCCTTTATTCGAAGTTTCTCAAGAACCATTCGAGCCACAGAATTCATTTTGGCATCGTTGGATAGAGAATTGAAAAGTCGATTTAGTCGTAACAACGAGAGTGAGGAAGTTCGAGTAGTTTTGACCCAGAAAGCGAAATTTTTATCAGACACTTAGCTGCAAGATTATGCCAAAATTTCATGTTTTGCGTCTCGTTTTTGCTCATTTCTCGGAGGCAAAATGAGCAAGAACGCTCATTTGTACATCATTCTAGACAGAAATGAATGGCCTTTTTAGAAAGTGAACCATGAATAAGAAAATGTTGGCAGTTTTCTCAAAAAATGCTTGAATTCGAGTAGTTTTAGATTTGCGCGGTTTTTTTTGAGTTGCAAAATCCACTTGAACATGACGCTGCTCTTTTCGAAGTTTCTGAAGAACCATTCGAGCCACGGAAGTCGTTTTGGCATCATTGGATAGAAAATTGAAAAGTCGATTCAGTCGTAACAACGTGAATGAGGAAATTCGAGTAGTTTTGACCCAGAAAGCGAAATTTGAATATCAGACACTTAGCTGCAAGATTATGCCAAAATTCCATGTTTTCCGTCCCGTTTTTGCTCATATCTCGGAGTTATTTCATTAGGCCCATGAAAAAATCGTGTTTTATTTTTGCCACCATCTATTGACCGAAAAACCCACAAACATAAGTAGGCGTCTTTTACCGATTTTTAAATAAATATTTTGCATTTACTCAGATAATTAAAATTAAAACCAAGCGAAAAAGTAGCTTTTTCATCAAAAAAATTTACAAAAGAATCGGACTTACCCTCTATTGTTTTAAAGCCGATGGCACCGCCGATAGTATAAATAACAAGCACAATAGTTAGAAAACAATGAGTGAACCATTTCTTGCTCAAAACCTTCACTTTGTTGTAGAGCCAAAGAGCGAACTTTTCCCCGAAGCCCAAGCTGGTCTTTGCAGTGCTTAAGCCCAAGTCCCTCCACTGGTTTATGTGATCGAACATGAACTGCGAAGTCTTCCGGCCGTTGGACGGGCCCAAGGCCTCCGCAGGGACACTCAAAAGTACTTTGGGGCTGTTTTGGGACGCTTGCGGGGGCGGAATGATCAACGTGGGTCTGGCGAAACCAACTTTCTTCTCCACACTGGGTGTTCCCGGTGTTTTCGCTTCTATCGACGTTGACGTCACAGGCACAGCGTTATTACTTTCCATTGTATAAACAGTTTATCCAAGCGTTTCGGTAATTATTATTTAAATCAATCGGGACGTCGTCCTTTCTTTATTTTTGGAACGGAGCGCATCACACGCTTGGTAGTGACCGCACTTTCAAGACTGGACCGTCGTTAACGCGTGCTTTTTCCCAAATATTTGTAAACAAGTTATTAATATTGCTTTTCTGGAAAAGTGGCTCGGCGTCTCTGACTCAATCGTTTCGCTAAGGGCACTTGGATGCCACCCAAATCCATATACCAGTCGAAGCGCAAGTACAATTTTACCAAAAAAAAACTTATAATCACCTACAAGCTTTATGGACGATAAAATTCAGCAGCTAGTGAATAAATGTATGGACCGAAAAACTATGCGCTTCGCATGTGCGTTTGTTGCCTGCAATGAGTAGTTTTCAAGCTGCTAAGGAGCGCCACATTTGAACCCATAATAATGAAGACATCGTCGGTTAAAGCCCAAAAATGCTCAGCATCTCAAGAGCATATCGAGTTTTCCACTAAGCTTCTGTGCAGTGAAAATTGCGAACTCCCTTGCGCTTTTTCAGCTGCTTTTCCAAACTCCCTGTACGCTTAAAGTCGCGTTCGAGAATTCCGCGAATCCTGACAAATTCTGGCGAGTGGGCGATTTTCAGAGCATTAGAAGCGAAAATATCCCACTACTCAGACAATATTTAGTGTTCATTAGGGAGAACGACGAACCGTTTGGCTGCTGAAAGGCTTTGAGGATTTTTGCCGAGCGATTAGCCGAGATTTATGGTGACTACTTTTTAAAATAAACGCAAAAAATGAATTTTTCAAAGCATCTCTCAGAATCAAAATAGGTTGTTTGGCAACCAACTGGAAATGCCGATGAAGAAAACCACCGAAAATCACAATACAAATAAATATTTATTACCTTATAACACTACTGAATCGTTCAGTCACGCTATAGACAAATCACTATAAACGTACACAGTTAATAAATTCCATTAAAATACAAAAATGAAACAGTTTAGTTTGGATAAATGAACAGAACCAGAGCAGCGCCTTGTGCAGACAAAAATATTAATTCAGATGTACATGTTAAACACAGTATCAGCTGACATAAATCTCGATACTCTGTATAGTTTAGGAATACGATTAGATTACGATTCTATACAAATTATCTGCGTGTTGACAGAGAATTACAACAAAAATTAATATTTATGTATATACAATAAAAAGCCGTCCCCGTGTGTAACAGCTTTTTCCGGCCGGTCATAATTATCGAGCAGCAGAACAATTAAAAACTTAATATAGATGTGGCTTTGCCCAGGATGCTGAAATATTTGGTAAGAATATTAATAACTAACTAAAGTAAAAAAGACGCTTTCTAAGTTCCTGATGGTATACAGAAGATCACCACCGCAAGACTCTCCATAGGCAATAATAAACAATGTTAACGTATCAAAACTACTGGGAACAATCAGACTAAACGACAAATACTTGGTAAGAAGGAAGTAGAGTATACGGCGACCCATTTAGGCCCACCTACAAAGCCAGTGTTATATCAGTCTTCCACATCACATCACTTGCACCAAGCACTTGCTATTCAGTAGCTGAAACTTCACTTTTTACCACTCGGCTTCGCCATTGGCCTTTTGGAAGACAAAGTCTATTCCGCTCAGATTCATAATGCCGTCTTTCAAGTAAAACTTCCATTTGTTTCGATTACGAATTATTTTGTCATATTGACAAACCACAATGTTGTCCGTATCGAAGAGATCTGTGGGGTCATCATCAGACACATCATCCTCCGAATTGAGCGGCTCTTCCTCATCGGCTTCATCTTCAATTTCCTGATCTTCTTCATCCTTGTCGTCGTCCAAATCGTCTTCATCGTTATCATCATCCGAGCCATCCGAAGCCTCATCTGAGGTATCCATAGAACCATCCACTTGTGTTATTACCGGCTTTGCCTTCTTCTTTTTCTTTGATTTGCCTGCAAAAACAATAAATTAATTAGTCTTCTCCACAAGCAACTTGGGCAAACATATACCATAGTGATGAGCTTCGTTATTTATTATGTACATAATACGGTACCTTTTTTCGCAGATTTTCCAGACCTGGACATGCAGATCTCAATTTCAAATTGATCGTCTGAATCACTCGCCGCCCCGTCAGTCTGCACAACGTTCTTATTTATAACATTCACGGACTGTTGTTGGCTGCTAAAGGCGGCATTTACGTGTTGCTGTAACAGCGAGGAAGCGATGGCCGGCGGAAGGCCCATAGTTGCGGTTATAACTGGACCTGTGAGGACTTTCTGTAGCTGGTTTCCTTGCAAAGCGGTCGCTGGAACCTGCAAAAGACCATATTTCTCTTCGTTTTTGTGACCAGTGCTCTTAGAAGTTAGTTATATGGTTGTGTTAGTTTTCCTTCTTTTCAACAAGATTGCTCCTCACGATGTTATTGAAATGAACAACTAGAAAACACATTAGATTTTGCCATTTGGAAGCCCTGGGTTTAATCAGAACGATTCACAGCCCAATTCGTTTTTATGCGGATTTTGCTGTTTATTTCATTGCATAGCAAGTGGATTATTTCGATTATACAGTTTTCTAATTAAAACGAAAAAATATCCAATTAGAGTAGAAAATAATAATCGATAAAGAATATGTGAGTAGCAAGGAAACATTCACATCAGTTTCTACTGCTTAAGTGGAATATTTCGTAAGCAGCTATGGTTCAAACCTCAAGGGCCTGATAGAATCAGCCTATTTATAAACACGTAATCTTAGAAAAGATAACAACCGGTTTTAAACCAAAACCATCTGTAACTATGCATGTGGTGTATATTCGATGAATCAATGAGGTTTTATGCAATTATGATAATGGCAAGCTTATTCAGTTTCAAGGTCTTCCACAGAAACTTTTCTAACCCCGTTAGTGGTTTTTCCAACTTAACAAACCTCGATAGTTAGATTCTAACGAGTTTTACCTGTATTGTCAGCACTCTCTGGCCTTCAGTTCCTGGTTGATGCGGCAAAGTGATCTGAATGGGAACCATCTTAGTCTCGATAATAGATTGAATAGGTGCAGTAGGTCGAGGCTGGGACTGCTGAGCTTGCAGCGCTGGAGGTATGACTGGCTTGGAAAAGCCATTGGAAATCTCTTGCTTCTTGAGCTTCTCATCCACATCATTCTGGACCGCTTTACTGGCCATCAGTTTGGCTTCCCACGTTTGTTTCAGTTCGACCAAGACTTGCTCGTCCACCCCGTCCTCAGCAAAAGAATCCCTCACCCCGGACAGCACATCTTCCATAATGTCCTGATAGATCCTCAACACCGACGTCTTGCACAGTGAGGTTGCCATAATTTTTATGGATAATACTACAGAACAGTGCACTGGCCCTTAGTGGGGCATTAATTAGTGAAATTTGCAACTTCTACAAGCAGCAAACGAGAAATAAATGGATAAAATGTTCCCCGTTTTGTTCTCGATGACAAGTGTAGACAATTAAATAGGGTTATGAGCGGAAGTTGGCTTCTCTGGTGCCGAGTTTCGTTCATCCGCTGTAGGTGGGGTATCCAAGTGTAGTAGGCAATCAGTTATACAATAAAGTGTGTTTGTGCAGGCGTTTAAGATTTTGTTTCTTGTTAGTTACCTATTCTAATGTTATAAAAATATATGATAAAACTGAACGCTTGAGTTCCCATTGCGAGATAAAGCTTTATAATGTTTATTTGCTTTTCCATGTAAAGCTTCTTAAAGAAATATTTCTAGTTTTCACGCTAAATGCGGTAATGCAAGATTAGTGCTAATTCTTAAAACCGCTCTTAGTTGGCTCATTGTAAGAGAACCGGATGAACTGTAAAGTTCTAGTTTTCATTTAGGGATAGAGCTTTGAAATTATTAGGTAAAACATAAATCTATAAATGTGTCTAGTTTTCACGCAAAGTGCAAAAATTCTGAAAAGTGCGGGTTTTGAACAACGCTGTTAGTCTTTGGCTCATTTTTAGAGAACCGGTTGAGCTGTAAAGATCTAGTTAGAATATGCGAATAGAGAGTTAAATTGCGCCTTTCTTTGCTTCAAATATCATTCTAGAAATGCTTCAAGTTTTCACGCAAATTGCGAATATGTAAAATTGACGCGAAGCTTGAAAACTGGTCTTAGACTTTGGCTCATATTTAGAGAAGCGGTTGAGCTGTAAAGCTTCAGTTGCTATTGGCGGATAGACCTTTAAAATGAGTACTTTCTTATATAAAGCATCAATTTAGAATTGTTTCCAGTTTTCGCGCAAAACCTTAAAATTCGAAAATTAAAAATTAACGCGGGTTTGAAAACGGCTCGTATTCTTTGACTCATATTTATAGAACCGGTTGAGCTGTAAAGTTCCAGTTATCACTGCCGGCTAGAGCACTAAAGTGCGATTTTTTTAAAATTAAACATCAATTTAGAAATATTTCTAGTTTTCAGGCAAAGTATGGAAATTCAATTTAAATGCAAATTTTTAAAACTGCTCTTACTCATTGTCCCATTGTTAGAGACCCGGTTGAGCGGTAAAGTTCTAGTTGTCATCTAGGGATAGAGCCTTAAAATGCGCTGTTTTTAGCGCAAAAATTTTAAAGAATGTACATAAACCGGTCGCAACTTCGAAATTCTGGACTCATTTTAACGATTTTTTTCGCCCATTGCGATTTATCGCCCAACTTGGCAGCACTGGTGGTGGTATATATTTGATGCCCCCTTACTTCAGACCTGTTGAGACAGATAAGCCTTGTTCAATGCTTCAGACCTATTAATATTTCGCGTATTGTGGTGACAATCGCTGTCACGTGTATACGACGATTGAGGCCTTTGTTTACAAATATAGAAAATATATTTCATAACATCAAATTATTCAGAATCGGGGCCAAATATTTGTTCTGATCTTTAACTTCCCAAACTCAACTAAATCGACATGAATTTCTTACGAAATGTGCGTAGTTCTCTATCCGGTTGGTTTCCTCAAAGGGACGCTATCATGGAAACCCCAACAGGCTTAGGGGACATTTACTTTGAATTGATAGTAAAAACGCTGTCCTGGAACACCCGCTATACACTGCACACGCTCGTCTTCTGGCTGGAATTCCACATGTAAGTCAACTCGAATAATTGCTAATTGTTAGTTAATGGATCCTCAAAAGCCCATTTGCTTGCATTCCAAATGTTTCAAATGCTGAAAACTGCCAATAGTTTGATTATAAATAAACCATACAGCATTAAATGGCAAGCCAAGCACAGGCTCAAGTCCTGGCCATTTTGTTTCATGTGAAATTGAAGAGTCATTGTTTCCCTAAAAGCCTGGAAGGGGCCTTTGAGTTAACCAAGCTGGAACCCTGCAGATAATTGCGATTTATTTGCGCAAAAACGAGTTTTATGCGTCTGGCCTGATGACTTTGCTTCTAGTGCTGCATTTTGCCCATTTTCCAATTAGTTAGTTGGAGTCTAGTGTTGGATATCTTACACTTTTTAATTCGCAAATACGCAGTTTTTTTATGGCTCTGCTAAAACAGTACAAGATAGATGGAATATTTAAGTGTTCAAATTCAAAAATATAATTACTAAGCCCCCATTGGATTATTCAGGCAGGGAGAGCGTGTCTTGTTATTCTTCAGTGGGGTGAAAATTAGGGGGAAAGTATCCCAACCCACCCCAAAATCGACGGCATTAACATGCCGACTTAACACCGATGACGCATCTATAAATATTAGCAAAATGTGTGTCTTCAACCATTATTCCTGAATTAGTTCCACCCGTTTTCCAGTCAGGAATTTAAAATTCCGCAGGCCAAACCAAAATCTTATTGCTCATTCGATTTTACCCATTTACTGATCAAACTAAACCGATTAGATCGAGCCGAGATAAAGAGGAGCAAAGAGCAAATTAATTATTTCCAACAATTGAATCGACAGGATCAGGAAATGTTCGATTTGTGCCAGCTCTACAAGCCTTTTTTGGCTGCTGGTGCCTTTTTTTGCAGCTGCCGATTATACAAACCCCCTTTTTCAACCACCCGCCAGATAATAGACGTCTCACGCTAGCCGGATGGTGCTTTATCTACCTGCATCTTGCCGCTTTCTTATAACCGTTCTAAAAATTCTTTAAACAGGTGGAGATTTTAAAAAGCCCAAATGGGATTAAATAAAAAAAAACTGCATGCATACAGGGACTCAAATTGTTGTTGTTTTCAGATTGATGTTACTTAAAGCTTTCAACACTCTTGGGTGTTTCTTTTTCGTCCTGATGGTGTTTTTTATTGTCGACTTCCTATACAGACCCGTTTTTGCGGCGCAATACACCGGCCAATATTCAGACGATTTAAAAAGGCTGAAACGGTGTTGCATGAGTGGGTTTGGAAGCATGAGACATAAAGCAGCAATCCTGGTAAGTATGCAGGACAACTGAAACTTGGCTTGACCGGCTGTTTTATCCAACTATTTTTTCCAGTTTTACCCAGTGATTAGTGGGCTCCTGTGGGGGTTGGCAGTCATTTCGACGAAAGTGTCAGGCCTGGCTCTGTCTCTAGGATTCATTCTTTGCATATACACTTTGCCCCTGCTGGTGAAGAGGCTTCCAAAAACCGTTTACGACTATCTGGAAAGTTGTTACAGGAGTTTAGGAGCATCGACTTGTAAGTGACCTGTTTTTTTGTTCTATAAACTAGTCTTCCTATCAATTCTCCAGAAATTCTGGCACTCTCCCTAGTAGTTTGTAGAGTTTTGGTTTAATTATGCTAAATTTTTCGTTGATTCTTAGCCGCCGTTGCTGAAGACGAGTTGTTTCCCTATTGGCTGAACAGTAAAGAGGACCCAGAGTTTGAGAGTTTGGGTGTTGAACAAACTGCAGGTATTTATATCGCTGTTTATTTTGTCAGTAGCAGCAAATTCCTGAATTCGAAGGCAACAACGAAGAATGGAAAAACCTAGAAAAACAACACTTTTCTGATAATCCTTCATTTGCAGATTTGTTCACGTCCTCAATGCCCTCGTATCTGGAAGTAGCAGAACCATCGCTGGTAATCCAAGAAGAGGACTTGATGCCGCATTCCTCAAAGTCGGGCATGTCGATCACCCCCGTTGAAATTTCAAGCGACTCTGATTCCGAAACAAAAGGCATCGAGTTTCAAAGCGAGCACTTCAGCTCCAGCTCATCGGAAGAAGATCAGTTTCTGGTACAAAACACAAGAACAAACCCTCTGGTCCAAAGAAGTGAAAGTGACTCGGACTATGATATTATAGATCCCGATGAGGTGTCGAGTTTAAATGCGTAAACCGATCCACTTTTATTGGAATCCTAGTCACTAACAGGATCTTCTTGAAACACAAGGTACCCAAGAACTAGCAATAGTTTTTTCTAGTAATTTAATTTCTGAGTTTGGAAGTGTTTTCAAATATTAACGCAAAGTTTGATCTTTTCAGGCGAGTGTGGTGCAAAGGGGATGCCGTTCACGGACAACTTTAGCCTATTTCCTAGTAATAATTCAACATAATACTTCACATTGTGCTTTTTTATCTCGCATTATCCTGCAAAAAAGGTGAAAACTATATGAAAATATTTATATCACTCCTTCAATGCAAAAAGTTGTTGGTACGATGATAAAAGTCCACCAGTCCCCAGTTAGTTTTAAGTTCAAAGGCTGTTATTTTCTGCTACTTAATTCTTAGGTCTAAGAGTCAGTGTAGTAGTTACCTTGTGTTTTAGGGCAGTAGGATAATGGAGCATAAGTATACGTAGATTAAGTAAAATGTATATTTTGAAAACGGCCCGTTTCTTAATATAATCATATCAAATATTTCCTAGTGTTTCTCTTAACTTGATCACTTCAATCACACTTTGTTTTCTCGGGTGTTTTGGTGAGAGACACTATTTCTTTTCTTCTGGGAAGAATCAGTTCAAATGCCTCTTTGAACGTTTTGCCTTCACTGACTCTGATTAGGATCTCGAAGACTGCCAAAGAATGGAACTTAATGGATAAACGTGTAATTTTGAACGAATCCTACCTTGATTTATTGTTAAGACCTTTCGTTGTTTCATCCAGAAATATTCTCCAATTGGAAGCTGACCATGTGCTATGCCCTCTTCTACAGCTTTATTGTAGCAGATGCCCTTAAAAAATCCATCTTAACGCGGGTTAAATTGCAATTCACTGCCGACTAACTTTATGCCCATTATGGTCCACTAAACCGCCAATTATATAAACTTTGTCGTCTTCCAGATTGTGTATAACGTTGTCGCTGTCGCTTGTTAAATAAACTAGCTTGTCCCTAGGGAAAATGTCCAAATAGTGGCTCTCGTGAAAGTGAATGTCCCAATGCTGGTATCCATTGTGCCTTTCCATTTCTTCCTTGCTGCGCCCCTTAAAGCTGCTTAGGTGAAGTTGCATGGGAGCGGACGCCCTCCGGTTTTCAGTATACACCCGTAAAATTTGCTTTACTGTCTTGGCCATATCCTAAAAACAGTCGATTGAAATTTAAATCAGGGGCTTGCCGATTAGGGCT